CAAGTGTGTCAAATTTTTCAGGTTACATGTGCACCCAACAGTTTGTGGTTACAAGAATGATGAATTCAGAATGAGCAGAGGTAAATAATATCATCCGAACTTTCAACAAATCGCAAGCAAGGTCTCAACCTTGCTTGCAATTTGCCTACATACACCATATAAAATATAGGAACATTTAGTGAGATTGAAACTAAATACAAGTAGGCCTACTCAGGCCTACTAAGACAAGAACTAGCAAATTACTCAGACTATTGACAACGATTCTTCAACATATTTTTCCTACCTCCATCATGTCCATGCGTGAACGTAACTCCGAGTCCGAGCCGCGGGCGAAATTTCCGTTGTCCAGTCGCGACGAGGCCTCCATCTCCGAACTGACGAAATGGCCGCAGTCCGTCCGTGACAATTATTCCAGACGAAGTCACTTCCCTACTGAGGCACAAGACACGGTCGAACTTGCAAATCCCTAAACAGTCCCGAAAGGTGTCCAACACAAAAGCTGGCCCAAAAACGGCAATATCTCACAGCAAAAACGGAAAAACCACCAGAGAAAACGTACATGACCTTCGCATACGGCGAGCGACAAAACCGTCCTGAAACTAAAGCATGCAAAGTACCCGCGAATTAGATTTCGTCGCCGTCGTCATTAGACTCCTCACGAAGTGGCAGCGGTTTTCTCCACACTAGAGCAAATTTGTATTCCCTCAAAAAAAGTTCTAATGAATGGAAACACCTTAAAAATCTTGCAAAACTCATACTCACATAATTACGCATCACTGGATTCTCGAAACGTTTTTACATTATTTCTCGAAACGTTTTTACATTATTTTTAGTACTTGTTGGTTTAAAAAGTCACATCTTAAAACTTGCTGGAAGAGAGACTAAGTTGGCAGGCGAAAAGTAAACTGGTTCCCTGTTTAAATAATATCGCTATATTTCTCGTACACTCTATGGGTCAGTGGATCTTTCAGGCTCATTGTTTAAAAAACAGTCTGGAAAATTGCTTCTAACATGTCTAAGGTGCGATTTTAACAAGATTTCTCACCACGACTTATTACAGAGCCCTGCACTAGATGGACTTTACAAAATGAAAAAGTGAATGCAGCTTTTGGAATGTTTATATTGGTGTCCATCTGCATTTTTGTATTTTTGGTGAGGGAGGCATGCATGACATTCAACAGCCTGAAACTCGCATTTTGTATCAAGCGATTTACGGAGGATTTTTTTTCTAAATGTTAAAGGACGACGCGATGAACTTTTATTAGAAACATATTTTGTGCAACTTTCTACTCGTCGGAAAATGTATGAAAAATATTTTTGAAAATATGGTCCACGAAAATATGGTCCACGAAAATCGAAAATGAGGTTAAAACAGCTAAGACACTATTTCAGCACTAGTTTGAGGAATGGGTTTATGACCACTAAGTTTCACCCCCCCAACAAAAATGGTGGCTCTATAAATTTGTATTCATCACCATATTGGTTTTGTTTTTATCATTTGACATGCATGAGCTTTGAAAATTATGGGATTTCAGAAAAGCGGGGGGGGGGGGCGATTTTGCAAAACAATTTGGGATATTATTATCCAAAAACTGGAATAGATTGGACACTAATAAAGTCTAACCCCTACACAGACTATCAACATTGTGGATTGTTTCTCCTGTTTGATTTATTTTGATTCCAGTGAATTTTGAATGCGTGTATGAACATTTATGACATCCATGTAGACATGACAGTCCAATATTTCACATTACAACATGTACATATTGATGTGTATTTATTAATCAACCATGTTTGAAGTGACATCCACAAAATTAACATGCGAATAACATGTGATTACATGTAGTAAGTTGTACGTATCAATACAGTCTACGCATTAATTTTAAATAAAAATATTGCATTCATGTAAGATTAAATATAAGCATGCATCGATAGATAAGAAAATAAGTTGGTCGAACTGCCTCTTTAAAATTCGGGGTGAACAAAAAATGAAACTTCAGTAGCTCCACTGAGGTGACAAAAGGTCGTGCGCCACTCAGGAAAAATATTTCAGAATTGTTTCTTCCTTTTTTGGCTGTCATAAATTTATAAGAAGAAAATAACTAAGTGTACTTTTTGACAATATTGCTTCTGAACGAATTAAAAAAAAAAATAACTTATAAAATTTAACAAACTTTCAAAGTAAACTTTATCAACCTGTCTCAAAACCAACTAAAAACATTTGCACTTTTTTTTCTGCAATTGGACATAAATTCATTAGACATGTTCCATACACATACTGTATGTTTGGGCAAAAAGAAATAATACATTTTATGTATTGGTTATATAGATTTAGTACCTGTGAATTAATAATCCAATAATATATATTTACACAAAATTCCATAAGATGAAAGATATTAAAAGATAATACTTCTTAAGCAGGCAAGGATTACAAAAGTTAAAAACCACAAGAAAGAGATTACACATTTTACATTATAAGCACAATCATGAAAACATAATTCTCATCCAAACTTTGAGAAACACCGTTTTGTATAAAATTTGTAAAAAAAAAGTTAAGTGCAGCATTTATGTTCTGCTTGGATGCCAAATTTGTGGCTGCTCTAAGGCCAAATACAAAAAAAAACTTGTTTAGCATCCCCGCCCACTTCCTTTTGGAAGCCGTCTCCTTTTTTTTTAAATGAAAAAATAATAAATTTCATACAGTGACATCATTTTGGCCTCTTTGTCTGATGCGTCTTGCCCATATAAAGATGGTATGTCATTTCCAAGTGATGGCCATTTTTTTTTGGCCTAAGTACAAATTGGAAAACAAACCAAGTAAACTGTCCCAGAGTGCACTGGCTAGTACAAAGCCGGGCAGTGCTATTGTGTAGGATTACCCTGTAATGGGCTAAACATGGCCCATTGTGTACGCAGGATACACAATAACATTATACGAGATACATGAAAAACAATGTAGTTCCAGTGAATAGGGATTTTGAATCAATAATTGAATAGAATTATGTGATTCAATGAGTCACAGAGGCAATTATGGGCCTTATGCACGAGTTGGCCTTTATGTCGAGTTCCCTGAATGTGTTTCATTAATTGTTAACTGTTTAATGGGATGGCACCAGACTATTTATGCAGGCAAAATGCAGCTTTATTTTACTCCTTTTTTTTAAACTGGCTTTTAAACATTCGGGCTGTTTAATTACAATTTTTTAATTATTCGTTGAAGCAGACTGGAATTAATTAGTAATTAAGTTGCTTGCCTTTCTCTTCGCCAGTCCAAAATTTTAGATTTTACCTCACTTTCAATTCAATATGGCCGACTCGTGCATAAGGCCCACAGGTTAGCCCTCTCTGTGATCAAGAAAAAAATTTAAATCTGACGCTCCAAAGACATTCTTGGAGATTTCCTAACGCTTTAAATCATTCCCTTCACCAAAAACAATTTGTGATTGAAAATTAACTTAACACTGCAGTTACAATCTTAAAATTTGTTTGATCCATCGTCCATGACCTATTGGCCAGTTCTGAAACTTGGGCACCATTTCAAGCTTCAGCTGCATCACTAACTCCTTCAGGAGCTCTCGTTCTCAAAACCATTGAGAAACATGTATTTCAAACACTGGCCTCAACACATAGAACTTTTGTGAAATATAGTTTGATTCTCACCAAAAAATTGACAGCCTTTGAGGATTTTTTTTTTCTGGCACATTTTCTTTATATTGGCTTGGCTGTGTTTTCAAAAAAATATATGAATATTTCCTTATGGACATGCAGTTTCCTTACTGGAATCCTCTGGCACCATTGAGACTCCTTCTACTGATCTCAATTTAGAAGCACTTTGAAAGTAATATCCCAGGATATATTGTAAGACTGACCTTTTTTTCTACAAGCACTAATACAAACACTAATCTACATGTATCTACATGTATAAATGTGACTACTCCCTGTTTATACAGTGAAATCTCAATGCGTCAAACCTCAGGGAAATGAGCTCAAATTGTGAGTTAGCAAATAGATTTTTTTCCAATAACTGACAGGAATAAGTCCTTACTTTTGAGCTAGAACAGTTTTCGAGGAAGCAGGTTTTGACTTCTCGAGATTTCACTGTAGATCCCTACAGCCACTGTTCAGGTGCGTTCTTTGGTTCCATCAACTTACATGAGGAATCATATGAGCAGCCTTCTTGTGCATTCATTGTTATTGAACTACAAAACCCACTCAAAAATGGCTGCTAACTTCAAAGTGAATATACATGAAGTAATGAAATGAGTATTTATGACAACCATTAGGCTTTTTCAAGAGCAAAAATATCAGGGCGTTTGTTTTTATAAATCTCTCAAAATATCACCCATAAATGCAACAATACCCTGCAACTATTCACTTATCAAGGCACACTTAACCCATAACCAGAATTCACACCACCACCATTCGACACCTAATGTCTACTTCTAATATGGACTCTGTGCACAAATAGTAAATGGTGTTTTGAGAGTGCCACTTCGTATTCACATGTGGCACAAGCCTGCTCAATGAATTTTATTGTGAGCCCGTAAAACCGATAGCAGCTTGGCGTGAGCGTCGGGCGCCATTGGCAATGCGTTTGGGCAATTTCAGGATTATGTAATTGTCCGTGGCAGAGCTTTTAGGAGCTCAGTAAATAAAAACAAAAAATACATTTCGTAAATCTTATAGACCCATCATTCAGTAATGGTCAAGGAGATTACAGGCTAGGCATTTTGGATCATTTCTCTGAATAATGAGAGGTTTGCAGAAACACCATGTGCGAATAATTTCTCAACTAAGAGAATGGTTCTGAAAAGAACCAGAGGTATAACTCGACGTTGCGGTCAGTATGCTCTGACCGTCTTCAGGAGAGTCAGAGCATACTGACCGGAACGTTGAGTTATACCTCTGGTTCTTTTCAGAACCATTCTCTTAGTTGAGAAATTATTCGCACATGGTGTTTCTGCAAACCTCTCATTATTTAGTATCTCCACCATGCAAAGCCTCAAATCTTACTTATTACATTCCACTTCCCTTCACAATGTTGGAATTGCCCGTTTAAGTCCTTCCCACTGGCCTTCCTAAACTTTCAATTTGTAACTGGGGGGGGGGTACTTATGCACGTAGTCCACAGCAGACACATGTCTCATTTTCAACATTAACTACATCATAAGCGGTGCGTCTTCATCTTCATCAGCGTCGTCAAGGTAACCGTTCATCTGCTCCTCATCTGTTGCCGGGTGTTGCCCCTTTCTTGTTCGAACACCTCTCTGCAGGCTGTTCTTCAGGTTTGTCAAGCTGCTCTCGCGCCGGCCTTTCTGCATCTTTACAGTTGAAGTTCCATTGCTTAGGATAGGAGAGAAGACACAATGGCTTTACTATGCGACAGCTTGTGACCACTGCAGGGCGCTCTATTCTTTTTAAGTATTTATTGAACATTCTTCAAAAGAAATAAAGCAACTGAGTTCAAATTTAAGAAATACTTAAAAGTAGAACAGTGCCCTTTACTATGCTACGGCTTGTCACCACTGCAGGGCACTGTTCTACTTTTAAGAATTTACTAAATGTGTTTCCAAAGAAATTTAGCAACTAAGTTCAAATTTAATAAGTAAAACCTGTGAAAGTTTTTCGAGTACTTCAGAGTGACAAATTTGAACCAATCCTACCAAATAATTAATATGTGACAGCGGATACTATTGAGTTATAAAGTTTATTGTTTTACCAAATCAAATTTGCATGAAATCAGATATATATCTAAATGATTGATAAATTGAAATGGTGATGGGAGGCCGAGTGTGCTCTTTGTATCACATATGAAGACTCATTAAGTGAATGCAAAGAATTTGCTTAAAAGTTATACTCATTTCATGAGATTTGGTAACACATTTAAGCCTATTGTTTCAGTTGTTTAAGCACCACGCCTGAGTGCCTTGTTGTGACCGTAAGCGCAAGCCACAAAACAACATTCAACTTTCAAGTTTGCAGGATAACTGTGGATGTCGAAGGTTACCGTTGACAGCTTAAACTGTATTTCCAAAACATGCTTGTGCATGGAAAGTTATCTCATACAAAGTAAAGGATTAACTTTTGTAGTGTTCTTTTCTTCTGCAATGAGTAATTCAAACTACCTGGCATCAGTCTTAGTCTTGTCTCCAGGAGTCTCCTCTGCACTAGTCTCCCCACCAGTGGTTTGTTTCTTCAAGCGTTTCTGAAAGTTCTCCTTCAGACTGGTCAGGCTGCTGGTTCGTTTGCCTTTCAGTTCTTTCTTGGCCGACTCGTCTTTCTTTGATTCGGTCTGTAGTTCCATAGAACTGTTACCAAGAAGAAGCACAAAGCACAAGAAATTCTACAGAGTGTCTGTTTGTGAATATTACCAACGTATATTTTGCAAAGTGAAAAATTTGGCTGATTATTGGTTTTAAACAGCTATTCTTCAACATAAAACTTATTAACTTTTCCTCCAATGGTTGACTGACCTAATGCTGAATTGTATCAAATGTAGTGTGCACCAACTTATTCAATGGTGTGTATACAAGTGAGGACCCTGAAATAATATACTTTATCGAGCAACAAATCAGTTCTAGACAGCCATTCATGAAATTTATGTAATTCAGACTTGCTTTCTAAAAACACAACTTCTAGGGCAAAAAGAATTCCATATTCTGAGCGATTGACAGCACCACAGCGCAAATCAGAAATAACGAAAAAAGATGAAGTTCAAAACTTTGCTTAACTAAAAGGTGTTTTTAAATTTGTAATTTATACACATGTATGTGTGAAGTGGAAAAAATAGGGAATCTTCTGATCCAAGTAGGCCTATTTGCAAACCTTTCAAAATAAATTGTTTGCAGTCCTTATTGAGTTTGTTACATGGCAAGGCCCAAAAAAAATGTTCTGCTTCCAGTTACCCTACCTACCCTATTTTTACAGCCCTACCCCAATTGGGGGGGGGGGGGAGGAAATGAGGGAAAAAATCTCAAAAACCATAAATGCCTACCTTTTACCCTTGACTACACGCAGACATAAATTGTACACACACACACAAAATTGCCAAAAAAAATAAAATATTACCTACCTACCCCACTTTCAAATGCCATGTATCGGGTAATCGGAAGTAGAACTATATATTTTTGCCCTAATTAGGCCCATTCTCATTGTTAGCCTAATTACAAACCAGGCCAAATAGAGTCTGAAAACACATTTATTTGTTGAGAGAGGCGTAAAGCCTGGTTCATACTCGGCGCGAAAGCGAACGCGAACGCAGCGAAAGCTCCCCTGATGTCAAATTTGCTTTGCATTCGCGTGGAGTATGAACCGGGCTTAAATGTACCTTTCTTGTCTGGCAATGGACTTGGTGATTCCTGTCTCCATGGCTTCAAAGACACTCATACCCTGTGTCAGCGCATCCAGCTGAGAGGTCACCCTGTTTATCTCACTCGTCAATGCTCCTGGGCTCTGCAGTCTACAAATCAAAATACAAAATGTACAATGTAAAAAAAAAAACCAGAACTAGATCAGTTGTCAAAACAGTCCACCTGAAAAACATACTTCAGATCGCGCATGAATTTAAAGAATTTGTGCTGAGAACTCTGCTATTGGCTCCATGCACAAGTACCCCTTCAACGGCCAGAAAAGGGGAGTTGGGGGTGACCTAGATTGGTTCCCGATCTATCCACTGCGTATTTGAATGTATCCAAAGTTATTGGAATAGGGATGAGTCTCGGAGACCATGGCAAGTTGAATTTGAACGTATTCGCGCGTCGACGATGCATGTCTGATGCTCATGCGAAGACGCGGTGGCTATAGCTTTTGCACATTCAGGAAATCATGCATTACAGTACGCGCGCCGCAAAGCTGTGTGTCCCATCCAAGGAGCTCTCAAAAGAGGTTGGAGAAAAATGGAACTACAGTGGTTGTTTTGTAAGTGACTGCAAGATATCTCCATTCACCTCCTTGGCATCTGCCTATGTATGACACGTGATGATGTCATCTTCATAGGGGTCGGCGTTCGTCTGGCGATTCTTTCTGACCTCCTGACTGCGCTCATCGGGGTACTGGGAGTCACCACCACCGGATCGCGATAACGATGCAAGCTGCTGGGCGTGCTGATGGCCGACAAAGGAAGCGGGGAGTTCATCAGGCGCAGCACGCCCTCTGGTGTCCGCGGGTTGGCAGTGACTGTGATATCAAGGAGATGGCGCTTAGCTCCTCGGCCGTTGCCTCTCCTACCCGAGGGCTTCATTTTCTGGTGCAAAAAAAATGAAATAGACCAAGTTATTTTTTTGCTCATTCCTTCATGGAAACTTTTTGCTGGAGAAAAAAATTGCCAAATTTAAAGAAGTCGCCAAACCAGCAAATATAGAACCAAACAAAACTCTTTTTCTTGGAGCCTCACAGCCACAGCCACTTGAGTGAATACCCAATGGCCTAGAAAACTAGAAATTGGTCTAGATTATCGATAGGCCTAAAGGCTAACTGCATTATGCCAAATGGCATGACAAAAACTTACAAAAGTAACATTGGACTGGAATCTTTGGGCGCAATCGGTTGATCTGCGTAGTATCACTCAATGCACTTGCGCGATCGGTCGATCCTGTAGGCAATCTTAGATGTTCACTGCCCATTTTTTCAAAATAATCCTCCAGAGCCGTGACTTAGAATTTATAAAATGTGATCGACTGATGGAGGCATGATCATCACAAATGGCCCCCTTTTACCTTCCAGCTGTTTGCACGTAGTAGGCATGGTAGGCCTACTCACGCGGAGCCTCATAGTTCTAGGAGTAGGCCTACTCCTCACTACTATTTTACTAAAAGAAAATTTAGGATTTGCAACAAGGTCTATGGACAGTGCGTCATCTAGTGTCAGATTGGGTCCAACCTCCCCTCTCCCTTCCCCCGCACCACCACATTCGCGCGCAGCGTGTGACACTGACAGTCAATGTTTACAAAGTCGGGCCTCCAAATCCAATACAAACCTGTCCATCTCTGCCAAAACATTTCCATCATTGAGGTTTGATTATGTGCTGTATAACTAATTCTACCTCCATGTTATAACTAACAAACAAAGATGCTTACCGCTTTGAACGTGCCCCAGGCCCGTTTGACGGTCCGCAGTTGCCGACCCGCCTTGGATTCCAGACTCGGTACCAAACCCGTCAAACCCACGTTCAGCGAGACGGCATTCAGCGCCGATCTCTCGCCGATCAAGCCCGCCTCGTAGCCAGATGAGGGCCTAGCGACTACCGGAGATCCCAAGGTATCATTTTCGACGTTTCGGGGCCTCCTCTGGCGCAAGGCCATCGTGTGGGAAGGAGTTCTGCAGGCGAGATTTGCTTCCTCCATGATGTTTTTGGGCGCGGAGCTGTTGTCAAATTTGGCGCGCTGTTCCGCTCGGCGCTCGCAATCGCTGGCTGGCAGCGCTAATACAGAGGGCGCTATAAAAAGTACCGATTACAAAAAGTTTTACATAAACTTGCACAAAGCAACTCAAATCAACAAATGTTCAGAGAAAACTCAGAGGTTTTTGCTTATTTTGTCTCTTTTATTAGTACCTTAGCAATCAATAGTAAGAGCTTGGCTACACTGCATTAAGTAAACATAACAAAAATCACTTCCTTGAAAATTAAGTTGGATTGTAAGTTGACAGTACTACTCAGTAATACATGTAGTATTAAAGAGTGCACTAGACAAGTCTAATGGAAGTTAAATAAATTATCCGCAACTCGGCCGGCTAGCTCTCTCATGGTGGTTTATTCAGTATATATTCCTGGTACTTCTGCCCACGTCATAACACTAACAGGTTGCCACTGCTGTGCTACATGATGATGCATTGCCTTGGAATTGTTTCCGTGAAACTAGCTAAGGCCGACGACATTAGTTCACATTCGCACCTCCTATTGTGTCAGTCTCAGTGAATGTGATGAATTGAAATTGTGAATTACTCATTCTTCTTATCTCTGCGGTTGTTGGACCTTGATCCCCATATCCCGGTACGGCGGTAGTAGTGCTGTTTGAACACAACACTCAACAGGCAGTCGCTACGCCGTGACGTTTGGCCTGCAATTCCTATTCAGAACACCGGGTAGGCCCAAGGCAAGCCACAACCTGTGGACAATGGCGAGAGCGGGGAACGCCGGTGCTTGGAACATTTTGAGCAATTTTCTCATCATCATACTTTGTGAGTATGCCTGGGGCCCTGTTTTCTCATACACGTACATGTAATTTCGTCTTGTTTATCAATATAAAAATTAGGTTTTGCCCTTCACGGACGTAAAATTTCTATAATTGAGTATAAACACTCACTGTCATGACTGTAGTGTGTAATTAAACTTAATACCCCTCCTTGAGTCCTTCCCCCCACCCCCGAGTGACAGTTGGAAAAATCACTCGAACCCACGACCTGCTGCTTTCTAGATTAGACTAGATTAGAAATTTTATTGTCCGCATTGTTGTATTAATATATTGTACTCGACCAGTTGGCTGGTAATTGGTATGATGTTTATTTTTTTTTACTACTTTCTCTTTTTTTCCCCTCTCAGAAGGAGAGAATCAGGAAAGATTTCCATATACGAAGTTCACTCAACACCCTGTGTACAAACGCTATGAGAGTGGACTGAAAAATTCTAAGTGTTTTCTAAGAAAATGCTTGTATTTTCTCACTGCTCAAATTGACTTTGATGACATGAAATTGCTATCTGGGGGCTTGTTAGTCAATACAGAGGAAAATTAGTGAACTTCGCATATGGTAATCTTGCCGAGAAGGATTAAATCCATAGGGGACTATCAGGTATCATAGATGTTGTAACGGGATTTTCCTGTATTTATCCTGACCATTCATAGCCTCCGTAGATGTGGTTCATTGTGGAATAGTTTTAGTATTATGGGATACTGATTAAGATGGCTACCAATCATTCGTATCATGTTTAATCGTCAATAAACCAATTAATGTTTCCATCTAAAATCGAGTCCTGGAGTCCTGTCAGTCAATTATCGAACATAAGTAACACATGAGATCGTGTTATGTGTTAAAAACACACTCTCGGCTAGGAAAAACTAATTTCTTAAAGTACACAACAGTTTCAGAAGAAGTGCACTTAAACTTTTAAATTGTACACCATGTCCCTCCCCCCCCCCCAACTTTTCTTCCTTTATTATTTAAAATCAAATCTAACATTCCTGGCTCTGGAGGATTTTTGTTTTAGGGAAATAAAGTCCCAAATTGCATTAGATCAGATTCTCGTCTCCTCAATACAGAGTCACAACTAAAGCCTAGTTTCTATATCGACATATAGAGAAACGCAAACAGGACCGAAACTACAATGCAGACATATGGAAACATTTCATCCGGAAGTGTCGCTGACAAGTCAAACAGATGCAAACTACCTGGCAGACGATCGGCAAAGTTGAACACGGTTCAACTTTGCAGACGGTTCCGCGTACTGTCTGCTTAACGCTGATATGGAAACCAGGCTTTAGCCCTCAGCACAGAACCAGATGACAGTATTATAATTTTATTTCTCATGGTAAAACAAATTAGGTTCCGAAAAACATTCACTGCGCATGTTCAGTGGGAGAGTACAAAAAGCAAAGACAAAATCAGGGATGGGTTAACAGTCAAATTAATAACGGCCTTATTAAAGGGAATATACAACATTTGCAAACATCAAAAAATAAAACTACCAAGTTTTTACGAAATACCTTACTAGGATGTTGGTAAATGACAGTCTAAAGCATCCTGTAAAATTATGGCACCTGGTGTGAAGTCATTTTCAAGAAAATGGTATTTTTGTATACATTTCCAACAGTGGTCGGTCGAACACCGTTGGAAAAACCTAACTATTTTTCAACTACTGCTCCAAATTTACAATTTTTTTTTCAGTCCAAATTTTGTTTGCTATTGGTTACATGTTCATGAACGGGTGCAGGCTAGCTAGACTTGTTCCCTTACCTTACAATGTTCCGGCTTCTATAAATTGATCCATTTTATCTTTAGTGGAGTCAGGGAACCAGACTATTTTTGGTTTTTTTTTCGGTTTTTCCAGCATTTTCGAACACAAAACTTCAAACATGTCAGTGTAACAATATTTGATCTATTATACTAACCCCTCAAATAGTTCATTTCTGAAAATTACAGCAAAAGCCAATGATGTACATTCCCTTTAATATACTCATATAGAATACTAAATTTAACATTTTAAAAACATTGGAAAACTTTTGAAGAGACAGTAGACATGGTAGATATAATTCTACAAATTGTCATTGCTGCAAACAGCAGTGTCCTTGTGAAATGAAAATGTTGACATCCAAGTTACGGAATTCCTGGCACTTTGTTCAGGAAGTAGGCCTATGCCTACAACTTCCTAGTTGCGTTCACCAGGATGCCTTGTTAATTATTTGTCAACAGACTGTGCATTGTAGTCAAGGAAGCCTAGTAGCAGTAGCTAGTAGAAAAGGAGACATTTGATTGTGCATTTCCCATTTTATCAAATTTGCATTAACTGTGGCAGATACTGTTTTCATGCTAAGACATTGAAAAGACCGTTATATTTATTCAGTTGACACTGGTATACGTCCACTATGAAGTTTTTTTTCCCGTTCAAAACCCTTTACCATTGTGAGTGTTGTTGGTATTATGACCATGACTTTATGACGAGATTTGAAGGTTTACATGGCGAGGTCATTTTACCAGGAAGATAGGTACCAGTGACACCATGTGACACCATGTGACTGTAAATCTCTTTTGTAGATAGGAAGATAGGTACCAGTGACACCATGTGACACCATGTGACTGTAAATCTCTTTTGTAGAACTTTCTGACAACATGTAGCTCTGAGAAGAACCTGTGTATTCACCAATGCAAAAGTGTGATTCAGAGTTGTAACGAGTCACTGATTTTTGTGACTCGAGTCGAGTCGAGTCATTTTAAAGAAGTGACTCGAGTCAAGTCGAGTCATTTGAAAGAAGTGACTCGAGTCGAGTCGAGTCATTAGGTCAAGAAGGTCGATATTAGGTCAATATTTAGCGAGTCAATTCGAGTCACGTATATTTTAACACTATTTACCAAAATGTATAAAAGGAGGGCATAAATTTAGCCAGCGTTCGAATCCAAGAGGCTTTATAAGAAATCGCCCAAAGCCAATGATGAAACAACGAATTGGAAAATAAATCCGGTTCCTGAATAGTATTTTGTGCGTTCCAGAACCATAAGGTGGGAGTCTGTGACACGTTGTATGTTTGTACGTAAATTAACATAAAATTCGCACCGTAAGTCATTGCAAATACTTTTCGCAAAATTTTGCTTTTATTTTTGGGACTCGAGTCTTATTAGCCTTCGCTCGAGTCGAGTCGAGCCTTTTGATGAGGGACTCGAGTTGAGTCGAGTCAAATTTGCTTGCAGTGACTCGAGTCGAGTCGAGTCATTTACCCATAGGGACTCGAGTCGAGTCAAGTCACCAAAAATTTTGACTCGAGTCGGACTCGAGTCGAGTCATTGACTTGAATCATTACAACTCTGGTGTGATTGTTTGCTCTGTTCATTGTTAATGATATTTAAGATTGTACTAAATCGTGTGTACATATGTATACACTTGTCAACAACACACTACAGATACCTGACATGTGACCCAGAAACTGCTAGGGCTGTCCTGAATATACCGAATACATGAATCAATAACCGAGTCAAATTAGGCTTTTTGCCGGTTTGAATATTCGAAAACAAAAAAATTACGCAGGTACACACGCGACTGTGATGTTATTTTATTCTTAAGATGCAGCATTTATTGTCAGGTGCCACTTTTTGGCGAGCTGCGAAGCAGATGCGAGCCTATGTAATACCAATTTCCGTCCGTCTGTCCGGGCGCCCGTCCGTCCGTCCGTCCGTCCGGCCGTCCGGCCGTCCGCGTTCAGATAAAAATGTTGAAGTTTTTAGTTCTAGTTAATTTGAGGAAAAAAATTAAATGCAGTTGTCATGTATCATCTCTATAACTTCAGTTAGGTTCATATCATTGCAGTAAATTTTATTAATTTAATTCAAGGAAATGTTAAAGTTTTTAATTGTTACTTGTACATAATATAACATGTACATGTATACTATGCATTTTGGGAATGTGCATGAGCTTCTGGTTTGATCTTTTAGTTTATGGGGTTGGAGTAAGGATGGGGTAGGGGAGGGTGGGTTGGGGGATAGGGTTTGTGTGAGTAGGATGAGTAGGGGAGCTAGGATGGGTGGGGCGGGGTGGGGTGGGGTGGGGAGAGGGGTTGGAATACTGGGTTTGGGTGGGGTGGGGATTTGTAGGGGTGGGGTGGGAACAGGTAGGGAGAGACAGGTAGGGAGAGGATGGGCATGGATGTAGGGGTTGGGTTAGGAGGGGGTTGGGCAGGGGGCGGGATATACATGTAGGATCGGAGTAGGGGTTGGGTTGGGGATGTGTAGGTATGGGTTGTTGTAGGGGTTGGATAAGGGGAGGGGGCAGTATATAGGGATCAGAGTAGAGGTTGCATGGGGTCAGGTGGGGATGTATGGGTGGGGGAATGGGGTGGGCGGGATATTGGAATTCAAGTAAGGGTTAGGGTGTGGATGTGTAGGGTGGGTAAGGACAGATAGTGGAAGATAGGGTAGGTAGGTGTTGGGGTAGGGGAGGGTACGGGTCAGGGGAGGGGGAAGGAGATAGGGATTGGAGTTTGGGTGGGGTTGGGATGTGTAGGTGATAGGGTGGGGATGGTTAGGGGAGGATGGGATGGGTGTGGGTAGGGGGTTGGGTGGGGGGGGAGGGGGCGGGTTGGGGATGGGGTAAGGTTTTGGGATGGAGTAATTAAGGTTTTGGGGAGGTGGTGATGGTGCTGTGTCTTCATGTACATGTATACCCATTCTTGTTCTGCATTTGTGGCGACTACACAAGAGTTTTCCCATGGTAATACAAGTATGGGGAGCAGAAGACACTGTTGGCGCTGCAAAAATCCACAACTGGGTCCTAATTACTCTAACAATGGAAAACTCCCCCATAATACAGTGACGGCTAACCTATATACACATGTATTTATTATGTAATCTGTTGACTTTTTATGTTGACATTTAAAAACTGACCCCTACACCTAGGCACATCAACAAGAATCCTGATCCCCTTCCATCATGCCCATCCTCAACCCTACCTTCAGCCTCCCTTCCTGCCTTGGACAGCGAGCCATGGCGGCTTCGCCGTTCTAGTTTTGTCTTCGGTAATGTTTTTGTAGACGGCGGTTCATTAATCACATCCTTACAGATTAAAACCCTGTTACAGATAAAATACTTACTACAAAACACTCCAGCGCTCATTTGGCGCACGCAAATTTTAACTGACACACTTTTGGTGCAAATTTATACTGGTGCAGTTGCAGCTGGCAGTTCCGAATATCCAAATATTTGGTCAAATGCAGAACTTTTTGAGTAATCGAATTCTAAATTATTCGAAAATGGACAGCCCTACACTGTCAAAGCAGACTTCATCTGAGTATTTTTGCTTGGCATGTTGGACAGAGAACGGTTTAAGAAACTCCCCTTCTGAATTTGAAAAAAACTTGGTAATGTGCACCTCTCTGTCCATGAGTCAAAAAATGAAGTTAATTACTTGTTTCCTGTGTCTTGACTGGAGTACAGAATGTAGGAATAGTTCAATCAAAATGTCACCAAATAGATTCACACATGGATGTTTTATACAGCATTCAGTTCTTAAAATATGCAACCAAAATGTTAACAGTCGCAACATTTCCCCCAGACTTCCTCTGCTTCTTTCAATTCCACTGAGAGAGTGAAACTGAATTAGGGTGACTAATCCTCATGTCCCCAACTTCTTAACAGGGGGAAATCTTGCTGCGGGGCGGTGTGCCTGGCTTGCTTCCCTTGTCTGTGATCTGCCATTTGGGGCCCACATCTGGATCCAATTTTATGGTCCTGCAGACTTGCTTAGCACATAAATATATGCTTAGTGCAGAAATTGTTTGTGAGACAAAAACAGCTTACAAGCCAACTGAAATGCACAATTTTGTTTTGTTTAATGGATGAGTGGGACTCGGTGGGTTTCTTTCTGTTTTTCCCATACAATAATTCCCCACATCTTTTCTTCGGTATAAATTTGGAACTTGGAATAAACATCAACCCTGATTCCAGTGTGTGCATATTACTCTGACATCATGATGATGTCATCTGGTTTCAAATTACAGGTGATTTTAGTTCAAAACAGGACCATCTTTGTTCATTTATAATTCCTGAACTAAATGAACAATCATGTTCATAATTTGTAAGACTATAATTATAATTATATTTTATAACTATTAATAAAACATTTTTTTATTTTCGAAGGCCAACTCACCTGACTTTTCCTTCCGGGGTTACCGGAAGGTCAAAGTTAGGTGAATTCAAATGGAAACTGAAGCCTTATAATCAAAGAAAACCAATTACTTCAAAACGTGTCTAGGGAAGAGAGTGAAACCTGATACGAACACGAAGCAATGAACCTAATTTAAATCAAATTGCTACACAGGAAAAGGCTGAATTTTACTATTTTTCTTTCGACCTTAATATTCACAACTGAATCAGGCAATGTCCAATGAAATTGTTGTCTGCTCAATCACCTCATGTTTGTAACTCAACAAACAAGCTAGCTCTGGTTTTTTAATTGTGTTTTGTTTGTTTTTTGAAAATTATGCTATACATATGTATAAACCCTCCTATACAAACACACATTATGTGCCAAGTTGTCCTTTCAGTTAAAAATCAATGAAGAGCTCTCAGCCTTCATAAAGCAGGATTGATTGTCTGTGACTGTTTATGTGACTTGATACAGCTATGCTTTGACTGTAGGTGATTGATAAGCCAGCTGTGACCACAACTTGCCTGCTTTGTCTGTTCTTGGTCTGTTGACCGTCGGAGTTTGACTAGTCACAGTGCCTGCTTGACATATGATCTGAATGCTGGGGTAGCCTATGTAAAAGTATAGCAGGGGAAGTGGATGGACATGCTGACTGTCTGTGACTGTTTGAATAGCAGGAAGGTTTTAAAAGCAATAACTCCACAACTCTGCAAGTCATGGGGCTTATCAATGCCCTCTTATTGTACATGTAGTAACAGGATCTGTCCTTCAGCAATAGTGCAGAGGCAGGGGAAGTAGGGTCTTATTGATGATTTCCAAATCGAGTTCAGGATATATTCAATTACTCAGTCATAATGTCAACCTAATCTACATGTACCATTTTTGTTTACATACAAATTTATTTTAAAAACCAACATTGGTTTAACATATCCTGGTTAAAGGTTATACAGCATTTGCAAACATTAAACAAAACACAAATTATTATGAAATACCTTACTTGACTATACATTGTAAGTAAATAATAGTTCCAAAACAATTCCAAGCATCCTGTGAATTCATGGCACCTGGTGTGCTGTCATTTGCAAGAAAAGTGAAATTTTTGTATCACTTTCCAATGACGGTCAGCCGACCAACATTTTAAAAATTGCTTTTTTTCAAATACTGCCCCCAATTTACCAAATTTAGTTAGTCCACATTTCGTTTGCAATCGACAGACATTCTCAAACGGGTGCAAGCCAGCTAGTCTGGTTGCTTGCCTGACAATTCCCCGACGTAAATTGCTCTGTTTCATCTGAAGTAGGATCAGAGAACCAGGCTACAAGAACAGCATCTTTTTCTTGGTTTTTCCAGCATCTATGAACACAAAACTTAAAACAGGCCAGTATTTTCAATAAAATACTGTAAAAAAAAATATTTTAAAAATCCATCCATTTCTGAAAATTATAGCAATTTAAGCAAATTTATGTATATAATGACCTTTAAAGCCTGTTGTTCAATGTTTATACGTACATGTACATGTACATGTACATGTACATGTACATGTACATGTACATGTACATGTACATGTACATGTACATGTACAGTGTGTTGAGATAAGATATGACATTAGGAAAGCTAAATTTGTCCTTCACCATATCAGCAGGTGTCTACAGGGTTGTGACAACCACTTCACTCACTTTATACTACCTGTAACATTCAAAATTTATGGCAACCAAGTCTTTATAGGGAGAAAATAGTGCATTTATTATCCACACACTGCTGTCAGAAAAAGTGTTGAATCGTGTCATACCGGTACATGTAATTCATTTCCATGTAACCATCAAGAAAGCCTAAAAATACGCACATTGGAGTTCAAACTGTATTGGATTTCTTTGACTTGTTTGTAACCAAATAAAATTGTACATGTAGTACATTGTAGACATGTATGCACTTGATGTGATGATCTGATACACCGTGCCCTCTGGAGACGTGTGTACAATAGGGAACAAAAGATTGTATACGTCTCCACAGGGCAATTTCTATAGATGAATACATGTACGTCTCCACAAGGTTATCACAAAATAGATATATGGATTTTACTCAAAAACTAGGAATTTCCAAGGTGTGTTGATCTGTCGCAAATGGAAGAGTTTTAGAAAAGGGATATTAAGCCCGAATTTCAGCCAGGGAAATTAGTTCTGGTTAAAATAATAATTTTGAAACTGCACTGTCAAACTCGAAAACTTTAGAACAAGAGAAGAAAGGAATGTCTCCACAAGGGTACAAATTCCAGTATGGGTGTTTGTGTAGTGTGTGACAACCTCCTTAATATCAAAATACAAGAAATTGAGTTTACACTGCCTCCTTGTATCTAGTCAAAGTGGCCATCATTGGGAAAATGGTCATGTGCATTTACAGTACAATGTGAAACTGTAATCAAAATGACAACCAATTTAGCCCAAGATGCATTTAAAGTCTTGATTTCTATAACAAAAAAATCACATGATAATGCCATCAGTTACATAAAATGGAATGGACCATTTGTTATTTGTGTCGTTTGAAGTAACAAAAGGTGCTTCCCTGATGAAGCATTGATTTAAACAGAGATTTCAGCGAATTAAAAAAGGAAAACTAAAACTCATAAAAAAAAATTCTCTTTTCTTTCACTGCATTATTTATTGTTGTTGTCGAGTACTTTTTTTCCAAGTACCGAGTACTGCCAAGTACTTAGGTTCTGGAGTACAAGTTCAAGTCTCTGAGTACGAGTTTTTGTACTTCCGAGTTTGAGTACGAGGACTTGAACTTCCAAAAACGAGTACTTCCGAGTACGAGTATGAGTATTTCTATTTGTGAATATGGCCATACGGCAAATAGTTCATTGTGCGTAATTGGCCTAGGCCCAATCAGACCGATATACAGACCCAATCGCGGCTATCTGTTAAACATTTGAAACGTGCACAGAGGAAAATCAGGAACCTTCAATTTCTCCACAAGCCAATCTAACCATTTTTTTTGTTCGAGTCCTGCTATTCAGTATGAGTACTTTGATGATCAAGTACAATTTCGACATGCCGAGTACGAGTACTTTGCTGCCTGCGTATGAGTACTTTGACATTTCAGTATGAGTACGAGTACTCTAAAAAAAAAAAAAGTACTCGAGTAGTACTTGAGTACGAGTACCGAGTAAGAGTACTACAACACTGGTATTATTAGGCATGTATGTATCACAAACTGGCCTTCAACTGTGTGAGTGTAAGAATGTTACCACACATTTCTATTCAATCTCAGAAAATTTGTAATTTGTAATAAATTTGTAATTAAGAGCTGTATCCTCTCTGAGTGATCCCCGTTTGCAATTTCCTGACTTGAAATCGTGACTTTGGGCTTGGTCCCTGGCTACTTGGATATGAGTTTATGGCTTCTGACTGTATAGTGCCCCTTGAACAAAGACATTGACTAAATGGGGCTGGATAGAGCACCAGAATGGTAATCCGGAGGGCGCAGGTTCAAACCTTGCTCCAGTCAATTTCTTTGTTTAACTTTAAATAATTTCTATTTAATGTTGTAATTTGCTTCTTTTGACTTTCTTGTCAGGTTCATTGCCGGGACTTATTCTAGAGTTTGCTGTCACGTCTCCTTCAGTTCCTTTTCAACGAGGTATTTATTGCAACGATGAAAACCTTCGCTATCCCTTCAGCAAGAACACCATCAGTACCTCACTGGCCGTGGTTTTGTCTCTGGGAATTCCATTTATTGGTGTAAGTATTGAAAGTTTATATATTTCTTCCTTCCTTCCTTCCATATGGAGTGTGATGGCCTAGCGGTTAAGAACACCGGACTCACGTTCTGGTTTTTCAGAGGCAACAGTGACGTGGGTTCGAGCCCGCCGGCGGACACTTGTGCTCTTAAGCAAGGCACTTAACCATTATTGCTTCGTCCTTCGGATGGGACGTTAAGCCGTAGGTCCCGTGTGTTGTATAAATGCACGTAAAAGAACCCAGTAAACCCTTATCGCTAAGAGAAGGGGTTTGCCCCGGTGTTTCTGGCCTCCTGTATAAACTCCCACGTGGAGTATTTAGGAGAAGAACCAAGAACCATAAAGTGCAGACTTCTACGATTAGAAGAATAACACACTGCAGGTGGGGGGCGTGCTCCAAGAACAATGAATGTGCTTGACTCACTGTAAAAGCTATATGTACATGCATAGTGCTGAGGTGCAGGTTAAAAACAGGACAACTTGAAGCTAGTGAGTACCATCCCTCAATACTGATTTGAATGCATTGAAGGGAGGGTTGACTGGCTAGGTCCAACGTCAGGGAGTTCCAGTCTCTGCAAGTGTAGCGGTACTTTCCGTGGATTGGGTTTTCAGTCCCTGCCTGATTCCGTGGGTTTTTCCCCGAACATTCTTCTGGGGTTTTCCTCCCACCTCTAAAACTGTTACTTCTTCTGGTTGTCTTCTCTGCACAGGTTTCTTCAGGCTTGCGAGCTACAGTGCCTATGGCGCTTTTGAGGAATCCTTGGTTTCATTACCAGAAATGATTAATAATAATAATAATAATAATAAAAAATAAGTTCGTGGGAAGAATGATGAGGAATAGACCAGTGTTCTGCAATGGGGCACGAAGAACCACAAACTGTGACCTCTGGTACTAGATGTGGTTTCAGTGAGGAAGCTACATGTAGGTGTTCTTGTGATATCATAAGATGTGTCCCTGACTACTTTCCATAAAACGCTTACCCATGCACTCCAGCCCATTGTGAAGGGTCATGGCCTAGTGGCCAAGAGCACCGGACTCATGCTCTGGTGTTTCAGCGGGTAACAGTGGCATGGGTTCGAGCCCAGGTCTGGATACTTGTGCCCTTAAGCAAGGCACCTAACCATTATTGCTTTGTCCTTTGGATGGAAGACTCAACCAAAAACCAAGAACTTCAATTTGTTCCAAAAATGACTCCCCAATTGTTTTTTGCTTGTGCCTTACACACACAGATAAAAAGTATACATGTAAGCTTGAATAGTATGTGTTAGGTACCAGGCATGCAATTTTTCCCGGATCGTCTCATTTCCTTGTTCTTCACTTCAAACTGAAAATTGAAAAACACTGTACAAAGTCTTGTGAGGATTGGAGTTTCATCTTGTTTTGTTACATGTTGCATGCTTGATGACGTGCATGTTCAGAATTTCTTTGGTCCGAATGCCAAAATTCCAAGACTGGATTTGATTCTCTTGCCACTTGATTGCACCTGCCAGGATCAGGAACAACCGCATCTTATAGGGAACAAAATCCAAGTCCAGTTCTTGGATCAAGATTTAAGGTGAAGCTGCAATAATTTGCCCGTATTTTGTTTGCATTTAGATGGTGATTGTAGAGTGGCTTCTCTTTCGACGCTACAAAGCCCTCGGGGAGCTCGCCCGCGACGTGCCCATGTACCGCGGCACCAAGGTTCTCTGCCTGAAGGTCCACAGCTTCATCGTTGCATTCGCCTCGGCTTACGTCCCCTTCCTCTTTGCATGCGGGATCAATCTGTCAGTGACCAATGCCCTCAAGTTCATGGTGGGCAGGTTGCGGCCACATTTCCTGACAATCTGCCAGCCCAATCTGACGGCCCTGCATTGTACGGATGAGTACGGATACCAGGCCTACGTACAGGGCATCACGTGCGATCCCAAGGCAGAGGTAGACACCCTTTTGGATGCCAGGTAGGTGTTTGACTCCACTGATCCATTCAATTGTGGTGTGTTTCCGTGAAGTGTTGTACGTGTATATCCTCTGCATCGTCAGTTTACAGGGCTCTGTGGGTCAATTTATTTGGCCTAGATTTGAGCAAGGTATTAACCCTAACCGCCCTGAATCCTCCAAAATCCTTTTTGCAAATTGGAGGAATTTGCAGGATTGAGGTTACATGGCAAAAGTGTGTTGCTGATTTCGGAGTACACACTGTGTCAAGGTCTTGGGCGGACTCTGTGTTGTTTATGCTCAGCCTTGCATAAATTTAGTCCTTGATTATACCTGAAATACTCCGCACTGCTCCAGGATGTCACTGCCTCTGCCTCAGCCTATTGACAGACATAGCCGAAGGATTTTGCAGGATTCAGGCAGTGGTCATCCCTCCATGGACCATATTCAAGAAATAACGGAGGAATTTGCAGGATTGAGGCTATATGCTATTTTTCCATGAGGCCAATTGGAGGATTTTGCAGGATTGAGGCTACATCCTAGCAAAAAGGCCTAGGGAGTTAGGGTTAAAGTATAGAGTATCTACGAATGCTTTAGATGCCCCATTTTTCATGTAATCAATGCATGTACAGGCATGAAACTTTTCCTTAGATCCGCCAATTTCCTCATTTTTTACTTCTCATGAATGCCATTACAAATTGAAAAATACTGTACAAAGTCTTGTTTGGTTTGGAGTTTCCTCGTTTTTTCCCCTAAATTCCCAGTTGCATGCCTGCATGTAAAAAGTATGAAATTTAAGCAACTTTGATACTTTTTTTCATTTCATGCAATTTAGACTCCAAGTTTTTAAATACCGACTACAGCCACAATTTTGAGCACAGCTACATGTACATGAAGGAATTATTTCCTTGAAACACCACATGTACATAAGGTTTCATTGTGCTGTGGATTGAAAAACCAATAAATAGTGGCTCTTCAAAGATGAACGTGCACGTTCACCGAGTTAATTCTGGTGTCAAAGCTTGACCTGTAATTTGACACACATGTAATTGTTTCGTTTGTCCAGGCTATCCTTCCCTTCTGGTCATGCGTCCGGCACAGCTTGTGCCTTTATCTACTTTGCAGTAAGTAACAGGAAACAAAAGTAGAAATTGGTAATTTTACCTTGAAAATCCCATGTACATGTATGTATGTATGTATAATTTCTGTGAATATACTGCTGAAATTCGTGCTCTGTAAAAGGTATGAATTAGCACAGTGGTTAATATAAATGTATATGTAAACACTAACCAGGAAATGGAACTGGCAAACACATTGAATTTGAAGGTACGTTATAAGCGAGAGCTGACCTACCAGTAGAGAAAGACAAACAAACAATAGAACACAGGTGACAATGCACTTTACTCAGAAAAATGGATACAATCCTCAGACACAAAAAAATGGCAAATAGATTCATTCATGCATGATGTGAAACAGTTTTGTGCATTTGACACGATATCTGTATGCAGTAGGCATAAATAAGGCATGACTGAAAATACTGCATTTTTCTGTGGTGTAATTCTGAATCATTTAATCTGTCATATTCTGTTCGTTTGGAATAGAAATACTTTTTTTCAGATACAATGGTAAAGTGTACCAGTATGTTTTTTTGGCCATATTTCCCATTGAGAATATTGCAAAAAAGATCTCTAGAAAATGACCTTTGAAATCACTGTGAAAAAAAATTGATTCTGATTTGTGAATATTACATGTATCTCTACACACTGTACACATTTTCTTGCAGCATTATTAGTCATGTTAGTTGACAACATGTAAGAAAACCAGGTGTTATGTACACTGTCCTAAAATATACGTGGCGTCTGTCTATCTATCTATCTATCTATCTATCAGGCTACGTCCATCCACTGTCGAATGAAGCCCTCCTCATGACGTTTCCAATCACTTCTGTTTCTGGCTGTCCTAGTCCAAGTCGCTGTTCCCATAGCTCCTATGTAGTTATATCATCTCTCCATCTTTTCTTTGGTCTTCCTCTCCTTCGCTTTCCCATTCGTGGTTGCCAATCTGTTAATCTGCATGTCCATCTATTATCCTGAATTCTTGCTACATGCCCTGCCCATCTCCATTTTGCTTCGCTGACTTTCTCTATGACATCTTTCACCCCAGTTTTCTACCGAATTACTTCATGTTTTACTCTATCTCGTAGGGATAAGTGAAGCACCTGTCTTTCCATAGCTCTCTGTGCGTCTGTATCCCTCTGAAAATACGGTTTTTACTTTGGCCACAAAAAGAGTTGCCTTGTAAGCAGACTTTTTCCCAGGCCATACACTTTTGTATTAATTGTGGGCAGGGGAACCAGGCTGGTTCAACCAGCCTACTTTGTGAGAATTGAATTATTGTTGCAAGTAATTTGAAATTTGTAAAGTAACAATTCAATAACTAAAAATGGGCGGATGTTTGGGGTCAGTGTCTCATTCAAAAGGGAATAATTTTTGTATTGCTAGAAAAGTAGCAATTTAGAAAATGAATACATGGTGAAACTCAGAAAGATCATGGAGAATGCATCTTTATACAATCCTTCATCTCTCTTGAAAATTTTTCCAGATCTACTTGCAATTCCGCATGGTTTGGAAGGGACCCTACCTCCTCAGGCCCTTTATACAGGTCTTGGGCATTACTGGTGCTGTCTTGATCGCCGCATCCCGGGTCTCTGACTACAAACACTTTTGGAGCGACGTCTTCTTTGGATTCTTCTTGGGAACCATCACTGGAGTTTTGGTGGTGAGTTGGATGCCATCACTTTTTCTTTAAAATGCACTGCATGAAAGATTACCCAAATGAGGATTCATTTCCTACAATGTATTGTGATTTTTTTTGTTTAACTCATATTTAGTAACATACGGTATGTATTTCAGAAAACCATAGTAGTAATGATTGAAAAAAGAAGAAAAGATGTAATGCAAAGCCCCATTAAGGGGATTACCCCTTAACCCTACATGTAACTCCCCAGCCTAATTTACTAGGAACCGTACCCATTCAGGCAAATTCCAACACCCATATGGAAAAAAATCGTACACACACACTGCTGGACTTAGTTTCTGGAGGTATGCCAAACCCAGTGTAAAAGACCATCTGTTTTATAGGGGTACTTGTACCTATCCCAACAGATTTAAATAAAAGCTGCTGTTGGGCTTTGATAGGTTGAGTTCGGTTAGGGTTAAGGATGAGCAATTAATAATTTCTGGACAGGGTTCATTTCTGCTTTTCGAAACTGACCAAACCATCAAACTTTAAGTACTGAGGGGCTTAAAACAAACATATAAACCAGTTGTGTAGACATAGACTTTTGTACTGTCAAGTAAAGTTTACTGCAGTAAAGTGTACATGTAGCTTACATTTTGTTGTTACTGAAATAATGTTAAGGGATTGAACTCGTTAGCTACAGTAATAAGCCATGTCATACATTTGCGACAGGCACCATTGCTTTTACCCTAACCCTCCTAGATCCAAACATATATTCTGTGCAAAAGTTGCCCTTTCAGTCAAAATCAGTCAAGTGACTGTTTTTAACGGTTGAGTGCTCCCTACCTACAAATTAAAGCAGGATTGACTGGCTGTGAGTGTTATGTAACTTGATACAGCTATGCTGTGACTGTAGGAGATTGATAAGCAAGCTGTGCCTACCACTTGCCTGCTTTTGTCTGTTGACTGAATTTGACTAGTCACAGTGCTTGCTTGAAATGTGATCTGACTGTTGGTGACTAGCCTGTGTAAAAGGCATGGCAGAGGAAGAGGATTGAATTTTTTGACTGTCTATGACTGTTCAAACAGCAGGAGGGTTAACAACTCCGTACTTTTTGTCTACAGGCCTACTTTGTGAGCAACCTGTATTTCTTTGAGATCCCTTCCTACATCGACAACAGCCCCTCAACTAAAGAGTTCAACACGTCACCCAGCGATACAGACCTCTCGACCATCGTTGCCATGCCAAACTATCAGTCAACAGATGCCACCGAGTTCTATGGAAAGAAAGCAACAAACATATAGTGCAAGACACCCCTAACATTAAATCAATATGCCTTGGGCATCAACTCTCATTATGTAGAAATCGTAACAAATTTTGACCAAATCAGTAGTTACATATATATTAAACTAAAAGGTTCTGTTGACTATTATATTTTGTTGACAGATTCTAGTTTGTGTACATGTAAATTGTACAAATACCAAAGGTAGTTATCAGTATCAACTGCTTCAAATTTAAAAACTGCTGTTTATTTTCACGTTAAAGAGGTTGTGGAATGCTCGAAGACATTTCCGTCATTTTTCGGGTATATGTAGCCTAAGGTGTGATGAAATAAAAACAACTATTGTGTCTGTCATGAAATGAGTAGAAAAGGTACTTTTCAGTGAGAGCTGTTTTTCAGGTCCTGTTTCAACCCAAACGTGCAATTTGTGGGGGCAGCAAACAAAACATAGTAAATCGTGACGTAATAAACAGGACTCCCTATGCAGCATAGTATAAACGAGTCCTGTTTACTACATCACGATTTACTATGTTTTGTTTGCTGCCCCCAACGGGGACTTTTACACAAATTGCACGTTCGGGTCGAGACAGGACCTGAAAAACAGCTCTCAAAAGTACCTTTTGTACTCATTTCTTGACAGACACAATAGTCGTTTTTATTTCATCACACCTTAGGCTACAAAAACCCCCAAAAATGACAGAAATGTCTTCGAGCATTCCACAACCTCTTTAATAGGCAGACCACATAATGGTTTGACACCAATTTGAAAGGTACTGTCAACTGAACACACAAATTAACTGACTGCAAGTTTTTCACACAAACATGGAGTGACTAAAGTCCACTTCAGTATCAACATCACATGACCAAAATTACAACTGGGAATACCCCTGTAATTTTTTTATTGCGACTGCCCACATGCATCACCACATTAAAGGGATATACAACACTTGCAAACATCAAAAAAAAAAAACTACTAAATTATTTTGAAATACCTTACTGGACTGTTGAATGACAGTCTAAATCATTCTTTAAAATTATGGCACCTGGTGTGCTGACATTTTCAAGAAATTTGGTATTTTGTATCGATTTCCAATGCTGATCGGCCAACCAGCATTGGAAAACAACTGGATTTTTTCAAATACTGCCCCCAATTAGTCTGAATTTTGTTTGTAATCGATTACACACCTATGAACGAGTACAAGCCAGCTAAACTGGTTCCCTGACCTTACAACTGCCTGAGGTCTATAAATTGCTCCATTTCAATTGAAGTGGGGTCAGGGAACCAGACTACAAGAACCTGATTGTTTTTCTTGGTTTTTCCCATATCCACGAACACAAAACTTCAAACAAGTCAGTGTAACAATACTTGCTATAAAACACCAACCCCCAAAATCCATCCATTTCTGAAAATTACAGCAAAAGCAAATGTCCTATATTCGCTTCAAATGACAAACGTAGTCAAGTTTACTTTTTATTTCTAAAAATCTTGCGTAAGAGAAACCAGTTTGTACATTTGCTTGAAATCATATTAATTTATTCTGGTTGTTTAATTTTTTTACAACAATGACACATTCCTCTACTTTGCAGGCAGAGAAAAAAGAAGAAGATTTCTTACCATAAAAATGACCAAGCGAATTTTTATGAACATTCTGACGAGTACCATTGATAAAGACCCGAAATTCTGTTATGTATATTTCTAAATATCTGTAATTTTGCCAAAACAGCCTTATTAAGTAGGACCAAAAGTCTATGTTAACATTCCGATTCTATAAGGTTGGCAGCAATGTTAAATTACGATTTGCTGTGTGCATATCAATTGAGTAAAATTATCATAATGAAGACAACCTATGCAACTCAGGGCAATCAAAACTGGGGATCTTTTTTTGCCAATGAAATATTTTTTCCCGACTTTAGCAAAGTATCTGCGTCAGAAAATTGGACACTGATCTGCAGTTGATGTTAAAACAGATTTTGCCACCCTGAGAATGCTATGCCTCATATCAATGTTTCCACATTTTAGTATGCTCCCCTGTTATCTTATACCATTATTTAACAGAAGCATACAATGAATTTTTAAAATTAACTTTTGTATTTTGATTTATACTTTTGTTCAACCTTATAATACTGATGATAGTTGTACTTAATCAATTTCCCCTCGTTGTTCATAAGATAATTGTGTACAATGATTTTTACATATTCAAAGTGACCAAATTATTAACTCGATTGATTTTTCCCAATTATATTTGATATACATGTATATATTATTTGGTATTACATGTGTTTTTGATGACAAAGTACATTTTTAAGGTAAATTAGAAATCCACATTAAGTACAAATATAAAAGGGAACATGTTTTTTATTTCATTATTTATCTTCATTTGTATCTTTGTCATTTTTTATATTGACCATTGTAGACAAATGCAATCGCTAGTAATTCAGATTCAAAGAATTAAACTGTTTAGACATTTTTTGTCACAACATAGTCATTTTATATTAAGCTCACGATGCACCAATGTATAGTAACAATGCTCATAATGCAAATGCGAATTAATTTTGTATGAAAAAAAAAGAAGGAAAAGGAATATATGCAATTTAATAGCCTTATTTAGAAGCACAGTGTTATTTTGGCGAAACAAATATGTGTAAATTATTGTAAAAAAAATTAAGACAGAAGTTGTTTACTTGCTTAACCATATCAAAGACTCCACAATTGTATTGCCGAGAAAAAAATATGTGTAGAGGCCAGATTATCATTAGAGTTGTAATATTGTAATCTATGTTTTTGTATGCGTATCAACAGTGTTTTGGTAATGATTTGTTTGGAGCAAGCAAGATGTTTACTAAAGAGGGCGCTCTATACTTTACGAGGCCTCCTCATGCACCTCTAGACTACTATACTGCGGGCTGGCCTGCGTGCACAGTCTCGTCATCCGGATATCCACGTATATTTCGGAGATGAATCCATGGTTTGCTATACAAACCCTGTACAGTTCGAGCTGCTTGATTTCGAAAGGATGATCGAACATTGCTCTCTACATCTGTAGTATTATTGCATCCATGAACTGCCGTCTGACATTTTTTTTTAGCTACTGAGGAGCATTTTTTCTCGGAGTCCTTGGAAGCTTTTAGTCAAAGTTGATAATTTCACCTTTGTCATTTTATGAATGCTAATAATTATGCCTGAATGTAGATTGTTTCCCCCCATGCATATCTATTGTAATGCCAGATAAATACGCAATAAACTTTATTGAATAAAATCGTCTCTTGTAAAATATTTTCCCCAAGTGTAGGCTACTATTAAATCAGAGAATGTGGCATTTTGGGAAGTGTGGCCTAGTGGTTAGGGTTCGTGACTCGTGATCAGAGGGTCATCCAGTTTCTGGCCATATGTTGTGTCCTTGGACAAGCCACTTCACCCCCACTTGCCTCTCTCTACCCAGGAGTATAAATGGGTACCGGCATTAGCTATCATCCCATCCAGGGGGAGTGGACATATTCTCAGTCGTTTTCATGCTACTGAAACCGGAGATAAGAAATTGAACAGAACAAGATTTTACGTTTAAACTGAAAAAAAAACACCCTTGTTTTTCCAAGAACTCCGAAAAAGTAAAAATGGACTTCACTTTATAAGGCTTATTCTACCATGGGATTAAGCGTTTTTGCAATTTCTGTGCGCTCATCATGCTTCACGATTTAGTTTCGAGAGAGAAGTAGTTCGCAACGCGTGCGAAATCAAACCGGGGTAACAACGATATCAAAGAAAAGTTCTTGCTTTGAAGTAAATGCCAATTTTTTTGTGCTTTTTTAAAGGAACCATGGCTTAAGATGTTTAATATGCTACAACTTTTGTGCGAACAAAGGTTTCCATTTGTTCTTTTTGTTTGGATGAAATATTGCAGAATGCGAATTCGTTTACCACATCCCCCATAGACTCGTGTGCTTTGTTTCTCATTAAACAAAATCGGTAAAATTTGTTGTGCGCACGCGCAGTTGAAATTATGAAAAGGTTTATTTCTTTAATTCCCTTCATGACCGACAAAAAGTTCCCGACAAAGTTCAACCGTTGGTGAGTGCACGTAACTACGTCCAGATCAGCCTTTACATTCAACAAATTCCAATGCGACACAGTCCGAGTCCGCAGTGTATTATTCCGTACCACTGTATTTATTAATTTCACTTCTCCTAGCATGCACACAACATTGTTGATATTAATCTGATATTTATATCATTTAAAATGACGTTCTAAATTATAAGATACAACAGACTTTGTAAAATTTGATTTCTCTGGCATGAATTTTAGATATTACGAATTTAGAAATTTCAGCCAATCAGAACAATTGAGACAAAACGACAACAAGGCGGCCATCTTGGATTGGCTACGGTTGCACGCTCATTTGTCGGCAACAACGTACGGTAAAATCGAAAGGCCCGAGAAAGGTAAGGTCTAAATTACCGGATGTTTGTTACAGTTCCCGTAATCTGAATATTGATCTGTGCCCATATCCGAGTAATTTGCAAAATATGCTGACATAGGCCTATACTTTTTTATGAATGGGAGGGTTTTGATAATGAGAATGTCTGTTGTATTAAGGTGTTTCAAGTTTGAATGCTCTTGTATACAGGTAGGCATATAAAAGCATTTTTCTAAGTGTTAATTCTCATTTTCAACAGACCTCATAATACTCAACAGAAGAGTGGATGTTTAAGTCCCAATTAATCACATCGTTATCTCTTAATAGAAACCTGTTCGTAAAGTCTACAGATACCCAAAAATATAAACTTCCAGCCTTCTTTCTAGTCTGATCCTTGTGTAGTTGTCGGCCTATCTATAAATAAGGTACGTAATTAGTCGAACGCTGCGGGAAACTTCCTAACCAAAACACTAAAATCAAAATGACTATCTCGAATAAAAGGGTCAATGCAATGTAAACTTGTTTTAATGCAATCCTTAAATACACTTTGTGAGTCCCATTAAACCTTATTTTTAATTTTCGTTTTCAAGGGTATTTTGGTGCCTTTTGGTTTTGATGCTAATGCGAATTTCCATATTTATGAGCAAAAGTTTGATGTCATTAATATCAGGCAGAAACCTTAACGTTACAGCTATTTCAGCACTAACAATTGCCAGAATTTTGGATATTTTGCTGTCGTAAACTTTCTTTGCCGGCTTTGGAATTCGTTGTTACATAGCAGTGGTGAGCAGAATTTTCTCAAAAAGTGTTTTCAATGATCAAATTTTTGGGTTCACAATTTAAACAGAAAACCCCTTTACGGAATAGTGTCCTCCTGAAATGACATCACAACATCAACATCTT